AACTCATTTGTTACTTCTCTGGGATGCTATTCGATTTCAAAACATGTTAAGAAGGGAATGATGACTGTGTGGAAGTATTTAGCTAAAAAGGTCCATCCTAAAATCATAAAAGGCATAAAATCTGTGTGGAACGTTTTCTAGAGTTGGAATTGAAGTGTTAAGGTGAGTCTCTAACCACCACGATCACCAGGTGCTCCTCCTCAAGTTTGCCGAGAGTTTTGAGAGCGCTCTGGAGATACTGCTGTGAGAAGTCACACGGAGGGAAGGCGTACAGCATGCCCCCCGTCTCCCGCTCTTTGGGGCCCCCGAGGGGCAAGCCGATGACCCCTGCCGCCTGCTTGTTCCTGAGGTACGTCACCAGGTTGCGGAGAAGGCGCTGTTGAAGGCCTGGTTCTGGAGGAGGGGCGTCCCGGTCCATGGGCCCCTGGACGGCGAGGAGCACGGCGTAGCTGTCCGGGCTGCCTAGCTTGATGCGGCGCGTCACCTCGTCCAGTTTGGGCTGATCCAACCTCAGCCGCTGGGCAATTTTAAGCTGCGTGATCTTGGCGCCTCCCGCTTGGTTGTCTCTCATGAGGGCGTGGAGAAAGCTCACGCCGCCCTCGAGCATGTGCATGTTTGTGGGGAAGCAGCTGTTTTTAAGGACGAGAGAACCGTGCCACACGCGGCTCAACGTCTGGGCGTATTCGGAGAGCGTGCTGGGCTTTTTGGAGTCCGCTTTGGACTTGTCCGTCTGCGAGTCCGGGTCGCTTTCGCTTTTGCGGTGGTTGCGATCCCGCTCGTCCTTCCTCGGATGCAAAGACTCGTCCTGCGCGGGACGCTCGTCGCTGGAGTGTCTGCTGATGTCAGGGGTGTGATCGAGGGGTTCTGAGGTGGAGTCCGGGAGACGCCCGCGGCCCCGGTCCGGACTGTCTTCAGGGGTGGCCGGCGCCCCTCCTCTGAGCTTTGACCGTCCGCGCTCCTCGGTGGGACGGTCGTTGGGGCTCAGGCTCCTTCGCTTGCGCCGCTCCTCCCAGTTTTTCCCCAGCCCCCGCTCGAGGTCCCGCTCCTTTACCCAGCGTTCCCGGCTGCGGCTACGGCTGCGCTGCCGGACCCGCCCAAACGCTTCCGGGTTGGCCCGCCGCTCCAGTACCTTCGGCGGACTCCAGTCCCGGTCCGAAAGGCGCTCTCTTTCTCGCTCGGCGAACAGAGGGTGTGACGGTGAGCGGGCCCTCGCTCTCAGCTCCCTCTCTAGGCTGCGGTGGCGTCCGTAACCCTCAGCGAGAATATCAAAATGAGGAGGTGGGAGCAAAGGCGGCTGGTACTGTTGAGGGTACGCCCTCGTCTCCTCCGCCTTCGCAAAATCCACACGTAGCCGGCGGTTCGGACCGCCCAGAGGAAAGCCACGCATTTGCGCGCAAGCGGCCTGGGCTGCATCCAAGCTCTCATAATGAATGTAAGCAAAATTATCTCCTTTCACATAGTCAATGGTGCGAATACTCCCAAAGCGGTCAAACTCGCGTGCTAAAGCAGCGAGAGACGTATTCGGGCCAAGTCCGCCCACCCAGAGCCGAGTCGTCGGATTGGCTTTCCCGTATCCGATCTTTATCGGGTTGCCGTTAATCATACGCCCCTGCATGGCCACCTTAGCCCGGTGAGCCATATCCAAGTTCTGGAATTTAAGAAAAGCATACGCGCCGCCTTGTCCGCGAGCGGGCCGCTTGATAACGACTTCTTCAATAATCCCATACTTCTCAAATCCTTGTCGTAGTTCCACCTCAGAAATATTATGATCCAAGTTTCCGATGAACAAATTCCTCGTGGCTCTCTGATCGTCCTCTGGTTTTAGGTCGTCCTCAGGAAGCTGATATGCATACGCACGGCTCCTCTCCTCCAAAGCGCTGTAATAGTCCAAAACGCGGTCCCGGCTGAGACCCATGCCATCAACGTAATGCCTGGGTCTCACCTCTCGAAGGGCGCTAGTGCTCCCCGCGCCGGGCGACAGGGACCGCTGTCTGTAGGTGTAGGCAGCGCTGTGCAGAGATACATAACTAACATCTGGAGGCGTGACACTGCGACGCCGCATGTACATGGGTTCAACTTTAAGTGGACGATCATATAGCACCAACCTGGTTTTGGCGTGACGTGCTTCCCGTGCAATTTCCGTGTGTCTGAAGTTGACGTAGGCGACGCGACCCAGTTCAGGCGTATGAGACAGCTTAACACTCATATCTCCAAACTTTTTAAACTCATGAAACAGTCCGTCCTCCACATGTTCATCAGAAAGCTGAGATCCAAGGTTGCTAATAAGTAGTGTCTTGTATTCTAGTCTTGTAGCCACGGTTTCAGTGGCTGGTGTCACAGTCTTACCTTTAGGCATGACTGAGGTGGTTCGGAGGGGGGCTCGACCCAGCAGACCCAGTTCGTGATGCGGGCGGTGATGCAGACTCTCTCTCTCTTCACGGACCCGCGGTTTTTCCCGCTCTCGGCTGCGGCTTCGTTTATGATAGTTTCGGCTCTCCGCGAGCAGCAACGCGAGCGGCGGGTTCGGTTCGCGCTCTCGGTCTCGCTCGCGGACGCGTTTGGCGAGAGTTCTGGATGGACTCGCGTCGCGCTCGGCCTGCCGCTTCATTTTACAGTGATGCTCCCCCCGCACAAATATAAAATCAGCTCCGAGGTGAAATCTCACGGCTCCAAGAGTTTTTGTACATCCGTGAGGAGGACTTTAACTAACGTTTGCACGGAAAAACGTTCGCCTGGGTGTTGAGCTTCACCGATAAAAATAAAACGACAAACATTAGCGTCGCTTCAGATGCATCTACTCCGCCATCTTGGACAAAAGGAATGTGCGCGCCCCACGAGAGGGAGGAGCCTAGCTGACGTCAGTGCGCATTCGCGTGACGCTTTAGAATTATGGAAAATCAATATTGTCTGTAAAATGAAGTTCTAAGAGCTAAAGATATTAATTATTTTCACAAGAATCTAATACTTAATATCATTCAAGAAGAGCTGAGAAAAACACAATGCCTGGATTATACTGCAGTGTCTATTTGTGAATAAGTACAATAAACTTTATCATATCCAGTTGTGTGCATTGCTTGCATACAATATTCCCCAGACGGTTCTCTGTTTTACACCGCACATTTTTTTTTTTTAATTTAGTCCACTATGGATACAGGAAATTCACATAATATGCACAGTATCTGGAAAAATAGCCAAACATCGGCAATACTAACACATGATACACAATAATGTAAAAGGTATGCTTGTCATATGACAATCCAAATAATGTGCATTGACTTATTTAATGTACCAAAAGCTGTAAAGTGATATACAAATACATGCAATGACTATTGCATTATATAATCACATGATGTTTTGGTAGTCAAATAAATTGCTAATGTCCAGAAGGAAATTGTACAAAAAGTGGCCATGATTTAAAAAGGTACAATGTTAAATGCAAACATAATGATAAAAACAATATAACAAAACAGACAAAAAATAATAATAATAAAAGACGAGACCAATTTCTTTTCTTCTTTTAATGAAAAAAGACAGTATAACTGTATTAAACACATTTTACACTCAAACTGACCCTCATATTTTGAAGATGAGACTTTCCTCCATTATATTTCATATAATGAATCAATTAAGCAAGCCCATACCCTCAAAAAAAAAGAAAAAAGAAAATGTAAATCAAACTGGGCAAAGCGTGTCAAACATATTCCCCATTACATCAGGAGGCAAACATAGGTTGTGTTGGATATTATTTTGGAACTACAAGCTTGCACATTGCAAGTCATAAATGAAAGGTTGTGTTTTGACGGAAGTGTGTGTGTGCGCTCGGTTTCTTGACGTTTACCCCTGGAGTACATGGTAATGTGACAACACAATGCAAAACCCCACTGTTAGGCGGTCAGTCAGCTTCACAGCGCTAATCTTCCACCCTAAATGCCTTTGGCCGCTGCCTTGGTCCCATAATTCCCTGCAAGTTTACAGATCTGTCCGTGCCTTGGCTGCGTTGGGCGCATACTTGGGCATTAGCTCATTGATCTTGCGAATGAAGTCGGATTTCTCTGCGCATCCCTTGCAGGATTCGCCCCATTCCTCCAGAATTTTCTTCAGATCTTTCACTTTCAACTTCTTCAGGTCGACGGAGCTCAGGTCAACTTGTTTATCTAGGAGGAAAATGCATTTAGTGGCTGGCAGTTTATAATACTGTCTTATAACGAAACAGAGTGGATATAGATCAATAGATTGGCAAGAGCGATTTATTAGGCATCTTGGGATGGGCGGGATGCTTAAACAGGACTATGGATTTGATATGGTTACTCGCCAACCATTGTGTCTTCATACTAATTATTTAAGAAATGAAAAGCTACACACTCCATAAGTTAGGGTTAGAAGAACTGTTGCCAGATATAACATGCTAGAAACATAATAATCACTGCAATAATGATCCAATCATAGACTCTTAAGCATTTGCCCATTTAAATCCAAACAGCAACCTTTTTTTTTATGGCCGGGTAGTGTATTTTTCTATGCAACTTACCATATTTCAGTTCACAGATTTGACTGTCCTTCTTTTTGAGCTTCTCACAGATCTTATCCACCGGCACATGGTGACTCAACGGTTTGGAAACTTCATTGATAATTTTTGTTGCTGCGTCACTTGTTGCCCCTATATAATAACACTACACACACACACACACACACACACACACACACAAAGTAAGAATAAACAAACAGAAATAATGCAAGAAAGAATAAAAGGAAAATTCATTGATACACACAAAGACTTACAAAGCGGTTTTCTTTCCCTTTGGTATCTTTGCAAAATTTTAGAAGAGCTTTTTCGATGGAGTCACTGTTGAACTTGACGTCGTCGTCTTTTAGCGTCTGGTAAAACCGTTCCAGGAAACCCACACAGACTGCAATGCAAAAATCATGCACAAACATTGAAAACGATACATTAACATACATTACGGCTTACACGCAAGATTTACTTTACAATACAGCAATGTCTAACTGATGAAAAAATATGCCAGAAATTAAAACTTGAAGTAATGTGTATTCACTATTAAAATATAGCCTACATGTCTTTTACGTTTTTTTCCCCCCATTATAATTCTTCCAGGTAAGGCATTTCCTGATATTTCCAAGTGGCAACCCTGTTCAATTCAAAATTATTTATTTACTGATCAGTTTATGAATAGGAAAATACGACCAATATTTGAATAGGTGTGCCGTAGATAGTTCTGAATATTAAGTGCTTACTTGTTTACATGGGTTTCTGATAATAACCTGCATTATGCTATCCACTATTATATGACGGTCCAAAAGATTTTCATTGAAGAAAAAAGAAAAAAAGTAGTGGCCATGTGACCTCATTTACAAAATTACATAAATACATGCCTTTACAATACTAATATAAAATGTTTTCAATTTATAAAATACTTACTTTTCTAATATCGTTTTACAAATATGCTACATATAATAAATATAGATTTTTACAAATATATATTATAAAATACGTTTAGCTTAACACTTTAAAAACTAAATATAATTATTAATCAACTGAATAACTGAAGTAGTTAACAGTAGGAAACAAAGACCAAAAAATACCCAATAAAAAGACCTTAACTAAACATACAACATAGCTAAACTAAAGCTAATAAATAAAACGCAGAAGTGAGACGCTTCTCTGACAGGTTATGTGTTTCCTGCACATGTTTACATCATGAAGATATTAAACAAACTCACCTTCACACTCTCCATCTTTCAAAGCGTCACTGTAGCTCGGAACCAGCGCCAGGGCCAGTGCCACGGAAAGCCCACTTAAATATAACATCCTAAAACCAAATAAACGTCTGTAACTACTTGAATACGGTATGAAAAAGTGCTGGACTTGGTTCTGAACGATCATTAAAGATACCGGCTCGAGAACACGCAACGTACCGATTCAACAGCGCTTCCTATTGATAGTTCCCGCCCCCTCTCGCACCTGATTGGTTACCGGTCCACTCTTCGCTCGTCTATTGGCTGGCGCGTGACGTCGCAACACGCACTCTTGTCTGAATGGATGTGCAGTGTTCATCCAGGGAGTGAGTCCAGTTGGCGGCCTCTGATTGGTTCTGAAGGTGAACATTCCTGGTGACGATATACGGCTTGATGATGTGTGGTTTGCACCAGCGCCATGTTTGTAGTTCTCCTCCATCCGGTGACGCGCTTTACATAAATCAACCGTCATAATTCCACCAAGATTTGCTTTATCAGTAAATAAGTAACGTTATATTATAAAATAAGGCCATTTTGTGATATTTTTCTCACATAAACAGTATATTGGTGTCACTTAAAGGCAATAGGCCTACCATGTTAGTTCCAAACATTTGCTATAGCACTTAAAACAGTAAATCCGGTCTTTGGCTAATGAATGTAACAAAGCCCGTCTCTGATAGTAACCAAAAAGCTTAACTGAGTTCTCAACTTTTACGCACTGTTCAAGAAAGATAACTACTTGAAACAACTATATTAGAATCTAGACCATTAGTGACAATGTTGTTTATTATAAGTGTTTATAAGTTACATTAAATGTTTAAGCTCTTTAAAGTCGGATGGATTCGGATTGGCTGTCAATGTTTTATCGTTCATTTGCTGGAAAAAAAAAATGTGATTGCAACAATATAGTTCCTCTGTTTCGTTAACATTATGCTAGTTGTTTTGTTGACTTCTCTATTCTTTTATCTTTATGGTTTTTCGGTATGAGCAGCCATAATTTTCATTTTGAGGTAAGTTGTGTTTTTGGTGGGTCGAATATTGTGTAATTTTTTTTTTTTTTTTTTGCTGTTTGTATAGTTTTTTCAAGATTCTTTTAATACTTTGCTGTCAGTAAACACAAAAAAACAAACAAACATGGAACTTAAATGGTAATGACTCAATCACACGTCCAAGTAAAGGAAAGAAGGCAAATAGCAGTCGATAAAACATTATCTTTAATATTAGGCATTATTAATGAATTACACGTCACAGCGGTTAAGTGAGTAGGAAAGAAAAAGTGTGTATTTACATCTAAAATCCACACCACATTTATTCATGCTAGCACAATATATACAGAAAAAAATACTTTGAGAATACTTGTACAAAGGTTTTCGTATTTCTGCATGGTAAAACAAAACGCTCTTCAGATTTCAATGCAAAATACACAAAATAACTGTAGTGAGTAGGCCATTGAAAGATTTTTTTTTTCACTTGTTTGCAGTTTAGTTTTAAAAACACATTTACATCAGAAAGTACAAGGCAGACAATTAATCTCAGTCTATACATGATTTGTCCCTCTTGACCATATAAATACAAAGCTTTTGAAGGATTATATACACAAAATAAAGCCAGACATGGTGTGGTACGAACTGTAATGCAGGCCAGAGCGTTTAGTACCCATCTTTACTTAGTTTTTCATATGTACAGAGACCAAAACCTCTCACATTACCAGAAACGCTCATTTCAAATGTATGACAATATTTACCTCATTCAAGTCATCAATCCTTTCAGGAAAATAAACCCAATTTTTCATTAGCAATTCACACATAACAACAGTATTGATCTGGAATTGAATTAGAGATGCTGATCAGGGCAAACTCATCATGTAAAAAATAAAATGTCACCCTCAATCTGAAACTTTGAATCCAAAACGGTCAGCTAGCCTCCATGGAGATATCAAACATGTAAAATATGTACACTCGTTTTTTCTTTTTTTACAGTTGTTTGTGCCAAATGAGTAAACTTCATTTAAAGCATAAGGTTTTAATGAATTGAGATTATAATACTTTTTTTGCTTGGATATGCAAGCAAATTTACGATGGTGAACGAATACAAGACACACAGTATCCGTCAGACCATATTTACATGCAAAATGTCTAGAAAGCATAATAAGAAATGCTCAAAACAACAAATATTAATGCTTTTTAGTTTTATCAGTGCTAATATTCACAGAATGGGCTGTGACAGATATACTTCGACACTCTGTCTTATAACACTCGATCTTTGCATAGATTCCAGTTCCTTCCCTGATCACTGAATATTCAATGTGTATAAAAATTATTTATATTGTCTGAATTAACCCTAAAATGATTAAAGTTAATATAAACAAGTATCAATAACTCATCCCTCAACCCATTTCTATGTCTTTGGAGACATAACACACTTACTTCATCATTATATGTCTTTATAATTTAGTAAAGAAAATAATAATATGTAATAATATGCAACTGCATATACCACCAGCAGTTTTACCCAAGTTTCACTTTATGAGGAAGAGCATATAAATGAATAGACAATGGCAGTTTATGTCTTTTCTGACTTTTTAAATGTAATGAACATTTACAGAAGGCCCTCTATCATGTGTATTTGCTTTCTCTGGCCATAAAAAAGATTGTTAGTGATGGACCATCAGTCATATATCAGCCATTACGATACATGGATTTCTCTCTGTACATGTCCTGCCATGAAAAGTACAGTTTTCATTTCACAAAAGTTTACCTAAAAACTTGCCTTTGCCTTTGATAATTTGGGGCTTAAGTACATTATGAGCCGCCTAAAGTATATACTTTTGTGTTTGCATGCCAGAAATAAATAAAAAAGTACTTTTTAAACCCATAATATATCCTTGTGAAAGTACAAGTCCTACAGAAAGTACCTCACTCAGTGTGAAAAATATTAAGCGATACAAAACGCATCATCAATTTGTGTAGGGCCTAACAGTGCAGTACAAAATCAAATCAAATCAATAAATAAAAGAGATTATTTATAATACAGAAAGCAAAATTAATGTGAGAACACCCATAATAAAAAATAAAAATATAGTGTTTTTAAAATATTCATAAAATAAAAGATATGCCTAACCAGGTGAACGTTTCTGTGACGAGTAATTTGTCTGTCCGTATTTCGTATGACACAATGAAATCACAGCCAATCAGAATATATGTGATGTTTAAAGGGGTCATGAATTGAGAAATCAAGTTTTCCTTGATATTTTGACATGTAAGAGCTAAAACATCCTATACGTTTTAGAATTCAAAACTTCCTCATTAGTCCAAAAAACAGCTTCAGAAATCAAGCTCAGAAAACGACTCGTTTCGAGTTTTGTCACATTATGACATAATAGACGCATCACATCTTTGGCCCCGCCCACTGGAGCGTTAGTGAGATGAGACGAGAAGAGTGAAATAGGATCACTGGACTAAAAATAATATCATCTTCCAAAGGATCCTAATGCTAGAAAAGTGCTTATTTATATTAAACAATGTGAATGTATCAGTAGTGCATTATTTCTTTGTACGGTACATTGCACTGTGGATTCTTTGGTAAATCAGTCGCAATTTCGGCGCAGGCTTTGCTAAAAGACTGTTACTGTGAGATATGGACTCGACAGAAATGCCAACATGTAAGTAACCGTGTTAATTATATTTCCTGATCTGTGATCAGTGATTTCTGATATGATTCACGTAAAGTTATTTGTCTCAAAATCGTTTATTGCTGTTTATGCGTCAGTAAATCAAGCCAGTGACTAAGTGGTCAACTTCAGATTGTTTCTCTTAATAGCATGATAGTAATCTGATATTTAATTTGTGATATTGACTGAGCTGTCAATCACTCAGTGTGAATTTATCAGTGACTGAGTTCTGGACTCTCGCCAAAACCCCCGTTATAATCAATGACGCGGTCTAAACTGCACAACGAATCTCTTAAGTCTCGCTCACACTACAGGAGTTTTAAAATCCTAACCGATTTTGAAATCTGGTTGCAGCTCACACTTAAGGAGAATCTTTGCAGATTTTCTTACCTCAAATCTTAAACATGCTCACACTACAAGATTTGAAAATCGTGGCGCATCACACACTACACAATGTTATTAAGATTCGTGCCAGAGAAAGCGCCTCACGTGATCTCACGCAACAGATCGGAAGCGGAAAGGTGGATGTAAACAAAATATCGGTCCTTCATATCAAGTCATATTCGTGAAAAGGTTGCCGTGTGACCAAGGAAAGCGAAATCTTTAAAAAAAATATCATCCTTTTAATAAGGATATTTCTAATGAATGGCGTCAGCTCTGTTCAATACAATGAATCAATGCCATAGATCTCTATAAGGTAAAGCATCAGCAGCGTTGCTCAATGCCCATTGCTGCTCAGCTGAGCATTGTAAAGTGGAGCTCAAAGTTAAAATTAAAATAATTAACAGCTTGTTTCATTTAACCTATCTTTGAATGAATATAACTTTATAATGAATATAAATATTTTATAATGAAAATATTTTTGTGTAGGCCTAGGCCTAATTCTGTGAATTACACTGTGCAAACCAAAGTAATAGCCTACAGTAGCTACTACCCACCGGATGAAGAAAGGGCTCTCAGTCTCCACAGAACATAAAATATTCATATTATTTTATTTTTCGTGTTGGCATTTGAGGAAAAAACAATGTTACGGACATGACCGCTCTAAGCGACTTTAAAATATGCTTTAAAACTTTCACAAAGACATCAAACAGAAAGCACAAAACCTTTCTTTAAATCGAATTTCGTTTTGTATTAATTGTATCTTAATTTTAAACAATGTTTCATCAACCAATTGCCTGGATTTTTATAAATAAGAAGTAAATATAGCAGACGATAGATAATCACGAAACGGAGGCGTCGGCGATACTTCATAAATGAACCGAAACTCAGCGTATAAGATAGACTTGCCTCACAGACATGTCTACTTTTAAACAGAACAATTCAAAACGAAAGAAAACAGACAACAGACTGCTCTCTGCTTATGTAATCCGTATGAAATGTGCATTTCTCTCTGGCGCGTTCACTACTGAAGATCGCGTGCATCCTGCGGAAGACGGAAGAGTTGCAGATGGTTCAGGGTCGATATCGAAAAATCTATATTTTTGACAACACTAGATTGTAGGCTACTTAGTTTATTATTTCAGATGCCTT